TTCGGCACCTGCGAAAGCTCTTGATCTGGACAAAACGCGCCTTTGGCTCGAGTACTGGCCTCGACGCCGTCTGGCGCCAACATGAAAATGTCTCCCAGCGCACGGCCCCGTACCGGCGCCGGAACCTTGTTTAAGACCCGCAGCTTACACTAAACATCAATGGAGAATTCAACCATCCATTTGGCAAGCTTCATGCGACATGATTGCCCAACAATTGTTGATGAACTGCTAAGTCACGCCTGTACACTTAAAGCAGTATTCCGAAGAACCAGCAAACCCCATACGCTGGCTTGAGTTACGTACGCACCTGGGTATGTAAGATATCGACTTATCTGTGCTTTGTGTTTGCATGGGTGGGGGGGTCCCTAATTGCTGTGTGTTCATGTTTGCACGGCATTAACAGGTGCTTATGGTACAGAATTTTGATCAGTATAGTAGCAGCAGTCTACAACACAATTGTAGAGAGCATGACTGTTTAAGGTTTAAGGGTCATCATTTGATAGGTGTAACATCTTTACAATGGCTTTAAACAAAAGACAACACCTAGTTCGACCAACGAAGATATGGACATGAACTACTGCAACTCATGCACAGACTTCAAATGTAACTAAACACAGAACAAGCATTTAAAGGTGGTGGTATAGGGACAAGATATCGTGGTATAGGGACAAGATATCAAGAACCAACTTGCTGAATACAAAATTTAACAAGCAGCCACATATTGAAATAGCTTTTGCAACATTATCAGTCCTCCAGTTTCAATGTATTACCGGGCCAGCCCTTCAGTCTATTGAAGCACAGGTGCGAATGTTCAGGGACTAAGACTTCGCAGTTACATTCAAACCAGACTGTGAAAAGCACAGGACACAACGACTGATACATGTACCTGAAAATGTTTGGCTGGCCTGACATAATAATATGAATACCAACCGTTGAACAATGCACCGATTCCGCAGAGCCAATCGCACAGGAGTGATTAACCCAGAAACATGTAATTTGGAACAAACAAGAAATGCGGAGGTGCAGAGTGTTCACTGGGTTAGTAACACTGACGGCAACTCTAACCACAGTAACAGGGATATGGGTCGTGGTTACTATAACATTGGTAAATCGTAATACTAAAATACACTGACTCCACTTGATACGATAATTTGTGCATAGCAGAATGCATTCGTAATTTAGGTATGACTGAGAATGGAAGTGGGGATTGGAGAGGCTTGTAGGTGTATGACGATCATACTTCCAGTACACATACCGATACCTAGAATTATTTTAGTGGGTCACGACCTGCTACGAATAGCTGCTATTGCCGAAGTTTACTGACCCTTTGACAAATACACTTAAAAGTTTCATGCGATGGTGTTAAGATTACAGCTATACAGGCATTTATCTGGCAATACGGCTTGGTGTTGCATATACAATTGTACGAAGTAGGCCAATGCTAAGTTAATGTGAAAAAACTGCAAAACAAACGGAACATTGTAGGTGTATGACGAATATAATTCCAGTACACATGCCGATACCTACAAATACAATAGCGGGTCACGAACTGCTACGAATAGCTGTTATTGCCGAAATTTGCTGCCCTTTTGACAACTTCTTCCCTTAGGTTTTCACTTCAATGGTGTTAAGATTACAGCTATGCCGGAATTTATCTGTCAATACGACTTGGTGTTGCATATACGATTCTATGAAGTAGTGAAGTAATGGACCGATGTTAAGTTAATGGTGGTAGAAGACTGCCAAACAAATGGAACAGCATAAAGAAGTGGAAGCTCATGAAAATTGTCTCTGTGTAGAAAAGATAACGACAGCTGATTAGACATAAGCACTTCTCACCTAGACATAAAACCGGCTCCGAAAGACTAGGAATGACGGAAGAATCAAGCTCTTCAATCAACGATATGGCTTATTCAAACAATGAGGTTGATGATTGATACTTCTAAGAGATCTGTTCCAACTCTTACTCATGCGTGAGGCTTAGTAATCCTGGCTGCACCTTTGGGCATGTGTAAGCACAAGAACTGAATGAAATAATTTGCTCTGAAACGGCTACGGGTACCAGAGTATTCAATAAAAGACTGTTTTCAAAAACCTGCAGATCAAGCTTACACAAACCAACAGTAGAGTCCTAAAGAGAAATGCATAGACACTTTGGTATAGGGTTCAAGGTTTAGGGCTTTGGTATGGGGATCTCCGGCAAAAGCGCGCAAAGATGAAGGACGAGACCAAAAAGCACAAAAGCCAATGATCCAGAGAGAATGCCAGCTGTTTTGGTTTTACTCTGTGTGTTCATTGTTTTTGTTTTCTGGTTTCACAGGATTTTCTCATACAGTGCAAAGTACCCACAGCAAACGGAACACCAAAATCAAAACACTGAAAAACAAAAAACACACGCGCAGCTACAGGTAGGACCTCACTTCCTGCCGAAACTACTCTTGACCTGCAGCCGGGCAGAGGCGAACGACGCGAAGTACCAGTATACATGTGTACATGTATACACATTTCTTATGCAAAGAGTCAGTAATGGAAGTACGACACTGTTGCTCCTCTCATGTCGCACGGGGCTTGGGTTAGGACTACTAAAGGCTTCAATGCTGCAGGTCGTAGGTGAAGCCTGCCGGAGGCCAAAGGTCTCGAGACTCAAGGACCCAGACCGAGGGTCGCGCGTTGAGCTGTGCAGCCCATCCAGATAGAAGACCTTGGATGCTTTTGGCAGGCAGCGCAGAAACTCCAAAGGCTGAAGCACAACAGCACGGCTGCAGGAACAGAGTGAAGCTCCACTTGCTTCACACGGCCAGTGCAGTCGGACGACAGTGGGTGCTGGACCACTGCACCCTACCATGAAATGCCGCGAGCCAAAAGGGCAAAGGAGTGTCAGTCATCGCAACACACACACACACACCACTCCCGAACAAGATGAAACCCTGCGGGGTGGATGTTTTGGGCGGAAGAGCAAACTTCTTTGGCAGTTGCACATGTTGGCTGAGACGACAGGAAGGCCGTCTAAGGCAGCAGAGGGAATGGCAACAAAGACCCTGCTCCTTGCCACCGTTGGCTGCGAAGGTGACACTGCGGCTTCCTGGGAGCACGTGACTCGGAAAGATGAGGCGTTAGCAGCCTGCAACCCGCCTGCAGACAGCAGGTGCTTGGTCCTGCTCGGAGTATCGCAGCAGACCTAATCTGAACCTGTATCGTGAACATTCTACTAGATTCCGGCTGGGATGTTCTATAATTCTATAATTACCGACAGCGGATCACGTTCATGTTTACCATTGTTTACCTCTTGCGAGGAAGCCGAGTCTCTGATGTGAGTGCCGTTGCCACAAGAGGTCGAGCCTGGACTGCTTGTTCATGAGATGTCTGGGGGAGAAGCATCAGCTGTGACTCCACAGCGCTGTTTAAGGCAAACAACGAGACCCCTAAATCTTCAAATCCCCTCCCGAAGAAGGGCCCGTAGGGTTCTACTGCGCTTAAGTCGAGCCAAAGAAATGCTTTGACTCCTTGCTTCCGACTCCTTCCAGCCACTGGCTCTCGCCCTCACTGCCCTCTGACTCCCCTCCTACGTGGCTTCCTTCTTCTGTGCTTGCTAACATTACGTACGTTCGAGCACCTTGGGGATGAAGCACCCTCTCGATTAGCATGCCTGTTCCCGTACACATCAACAGGGTAAGATGACAAAGGAAGCACGAGCGAAGCAAACTTTGGCCCGTGATGCCGGAATGGGACTGTCGCTGTCATAAGCTACCAGATCAGACCATCATTATCTTGGGATTATACGGGGACAGTGTTACTAGTATTCCGCCTCCTTTGATAATTTCCCTATAGTTTTCAACCGAGCCACAATCGGACCAGGGTGCCCAGTCCTGTCGGCTTCTATTATCCCAGTACCGGTTTTTGTCAGTTGTTCTTCCCTCCTTCCGCAGTACGTGTACAGAACGGGTGGCTTGACTGCAGACATCATTCCATGCGCGATCGAGGATAAATACCTTACATTGGTTGACATCTCAGAACGATTTGTGCTTGGCTCCTCCAGGAAGCAGTCCATGGGGCACGGCGGCAAATCGCAAGGTGCCTCGTCGTCCTTGTAGCTGTGTCGTTATTGCACTTTCTGCGGAGAGTCGCAACGAAGAAGCGTCTCAAGCGCATCGCACATGCCAGGCTGCGTGGACTGATGCGACCAGCAACGAGTCTACAAATGTCTACAAGTCAGTGTGCGTGCACCGTCAGTGCTGCTCCGCACTACCTCTCCTCAGTGCCAAAGCAAACGTGGCCACCGTGCGACTCGTAGTGCGCGCGCTTGCGGCTCCTAATGCACATGCCGAAGACTTTGCTGGGCAAAGAACTTGCAAAGAACACTGCCACTCCTGAGAAAGTCATGGAGCCTGTGCACCCACAGCACTGGTCCTTGTCACCACGCCCAGCCCACAGGATGCAGTGCATGCGCTCCAGGCGGTCCAGTCCTTGGTCCGCTCACGACCCGGAGGCGCAAGGTCAGACAGTTGAATCACTTGACATCTGAAACTGCGCGGATTTGCAGGTGTCACTCTGAGCATTGCCTGACAAAGCCCACACAGCACAGGCCCGGTTCTTGTGTCAAGCAGCCTCCCAGAGGCAATCCACGGGACAGTCTGGAAGCCTTAGCATCCATCATGGTTCGGCTTTTGCACCGATCTGTTCGATGTCAGATCCCATCCCACAGCGCAAAAGCCGCAAAGGCTGCTGCACCCTAAAGTTGCTCCGAGCTGCGTTGGACAGTCTATGCTTTGAGAGTCATCGCCCTCACATTCCTGGGGCGACTTCTCTGCAAAACCACATGAGGCTAGCTGTCGGCCTGCCGAAAGCAATGGGCATCAGCTGCTGGAGAGTCAGAGAGTGAGTGCACTGAGATAGTGCATAGTGCATGCTCAAGTTTCTAGACCGCCGTTCTGCGCGTCGGTCTTCTGACGCGCTCGCTTGTGAACTCCTTCCAGGAAGGGGCTCAACTTCAGTCACCATCACCAGCATCATGGTCATTGTCATCAGCATCGTAGTCAAAAGGTTGCCGCCAAGGGAGTACCACCTGCGAAAAAGAAAACCTAATCCCTCACAAAACGTAACTCGTTCACCAAACTCCGCAAAGGTCTGTGGCCGGAATCCTAGAAGGGGACACTAGTTCCAACAGCAGCACAAACCCTGGAAGGCGAGGGTAGTTCCGAAAAAAAGCTGAGAACCCTCAAAGAAGTCAGTGGTTGCGAGAACCCTACGGCCTATGTCCGAACAGTGGATCGCGGGTTGCCACAAACCCAAAACGAAGACAGCGGTGAATGATGGTGAATGGTTCCCAAGACCACACAAAACACAAATAGTGCCCAACGGGTGTTCGGCCGAAAACCCCAAAGTGATCACTTTCAGTGCATCCTACTCTTCTTTTTCTACTACTACTACTACTACTACTATTACTACTGGTAAGATTGCCAAGCAATCTTGCCCTACTTGCCCCACTTGACCCTGCCCCGTTGGGGGGGAGAAAGATTGCCAGCAACATTGCAATCTTGGTCCAAAAGGTAAACTAGTCGACGAGCAAGTGGGGCAAGTAGGGCAAGATGACCAAGATTGAAAGATGGACCAAGATTGCAAGATCGCTGGCACTCTTGCTTTTGGACCAAGATCGCCAAGATTGCCGAGATTGCCGAGAATACCTAGATTGTTCCATAAAATAATTGTTCTAATTTCCCCGCACAGTGCACTAGCACTAGCACTAGTGCCAGTGCTAGTACTACCACCACTGCGACTACTATGACCATGAGTACGACGACGACGACGACGAGCACTTCTGCTGCTAACACCTTGCTACCATCACCACCACAACCGCAGCCACTCCGTCTCCTGCTATTGTCAAACTGTGGTGGCTCGTACGCAGACAACGACTTTCAAACCATCGTTCTCACTCACATGCTCATGCGCTCGTTGGTCCAAATACTCTCGCCTGTTCCACACGAGCTTGTGCATGGCTCCCAATCTTGCCAATCCTGCGCAGGTTCTGCGTGGGGTGAGTTTAGAACAGTTTAGAACAGGGTCCTGGGTGTCGGGCAGGGAGATGACAATTCGAATCATTTCATCAGGTAGCTGCGCGGTGCTGCATGGATGAGTGCAACTGTCCGCGTCCTTCCATTGACAATCCACCGGGCAGGGCCGTTCTGTGCAATCTTGCGTGTCATCTGTGGAGCCTCGCTTCAGGGTGTCCCTGAATCGCCGGAACCGGAACCCAAGAGAGGAAAAAGCAGCATGGCATCTTGGGCAGCCGGATTATGTCTGGATCCTAACAGCGTCCTAACACTCCGATGGCTTGCGATGCCCTTCTTTTCAATTGACCATCCTGAGAGACCGGCCTTGACAGGGCAGGCCACCATTCTCTGCAGGTGACTGCACCTCGCGGCTTCTGTGCTGCGTACCTGGCAATTCGATGGAGGGGGCATGAGAGACCAAGCCGAGGCGACGCTGCGCCCTGGATTTGTGATGTTATGAACTTATGTATGAGTCATAACCCCAAGCCCAAGCGAGAGCTGATTGCGGGGACCTGTGCCACATGTAGTGCTGCACTGCTTCCAGGCCGTCCAGTCTCCGTACCTTGTTGCGTCTTCTTCTGCTTCTGGTAATGTGGACAGTGGACACAGAGCAGCCCAGTAGGATGTGACTCAGTGCCGAGCACGCAGTCGACTGGACAGGCCGCCTCAAAACCGTAAACTAGTGCAACACACTGCACAAAAACGCAAGCCTTGGATGATACCCAGCGGGCAGGAAACTACTGGACCCTGCGCTACAACACCCTTTTGCTGCTCTTGGCTCGGCACGTTGTCACAATCGCGATCTTGTGCTGTCTCGCCAACACAATCCTCGTTTTGCCACGATGAATGAGTGTCGCTGGTTAGCAGTTCTAGCCAGAGACGAAATCGCAGAGACAAACTGAAAAGCACAGGCAAAAATGGCCTTGCCACCGTACATCTTCTCTGTTTTGACCTTGGTCATTAAACGAAAAAATCGGTATGAGTATCGAGTAATAGTGAGTAGAACAGGCCACTTGCAGGCTCGTCTTTGAGGCCACTGCCATGCGCGTTCGCGAGGAGTGGCCGTCCCCGCAGCTGGTCGAGCAACTGCTCCAGTCCTTGAGAAGCGTTTCGTTTCCGAGAGTGGCGCGTTCAGAAGCTGCCACTCTCAGATCTCCGACAATCGACATGGACAGTGCACTAAGGCATTTTCATGCAGTACTGCTGCGGCGTCACGGCTGAGATTCATGGCTGAGGGCCCAGCCAACCAGTCGACCCACTCGCAATCAACGGGGCATGTGGGAAGGCTGCAGTACCTGTTGCGAAACAGCATTTCACCAAGCTGAAGTGCATCCATCGACTTGTGTGTCAACACGTGCAACAATCTTGGGTTCAGTCAGGCGGCTTCTTCTCATAGAGCAGGTCCTGACACAACTCTCAGGTGGTTGGCCAGCTTTGAAAACTCTGGAAAGGTCCACACTGGCTATGGCCACCAGGCTTTGACCGAGCAGAGTCGGCATTTCTCTACTCTTCGCTCCAACAGATTTTTCGGTGGCTGCCTGCCCTAGAGCCTCCCAAAACGAGGAGTCCTGAGCACTGCATTCCTTCCCACCGTGCTGTGCAGCTGCATCCACGGCACGAGTCCTCTCCATGATCCCTGGCACGCGGCTTCCGGGGCTTCGGCTATGGAGTGAAACAGTTGGAGCGTTGGGCTGGGCTGCGCCTGGTCCGCAAGAGACGCTGCAGTCTGACCAGTCAGACCACTCGGCCAGTGCACAATCCACGGGGCACTCCAAGAAGCCTCGGCTGTCCAAAAGCCACAGATGGCAGATTGGCTGCGGTTCGATCGGGCAGCTGCATGTGATCTCCTCCTCGTCTTTTCCGGTGCAGGGCTTCCCCGCTTCGTTGGCTTCCACAACGACCGTTCCTGAGATTCTGAAGCAAAGGTTTGGGAGCTTCGCATTTCTGGCACCTCCGGTCGGTGTGCCCAAAGTGCTTTCGACTAAGCCGTATGGATGTTCTAAAGTGTGCTCTAAGGGTCGAGTGTGCCGCGAGGTCGCGTGACCACAGGACGCGGAGCAGGCCTGCCACTCGCTCCACTCACTCCAGACGCAGTCGACAGCGCCTTGGGCAGATGCGACAGTCAAAGCCAAAGCCGTGGGCGCTTGTTGGCTTGGGGCCAGAGTGCTCATGTGAGCGTGTCACCCGACACATTCATACAGATTCATCAGCTGAGGACCTTCTAAGCAGGGATTGCTTCACATATCTTCCCATCATGCCTTGTCACATGAGTTGGCTACAGTTGCACGTCGAGCACGAGTCGTTCGAGTCGTTGCAGCCGCTTAAGTTCATCATATTATATCTCAGCTGAAGTGCCACAAAAATGCATTGGTTCGGCGGACGTGCAACATAACGTGGTACAATCTCTGTGTCGGCGTTCTTTGGGCTTCGTTTGACATCATGTGCAAGGCTTGAGAATCTCGGCGAGGGCATGACGGCAGATGCCCGTGCGATGAAACAAAAACGCCAGCAGCGTTGCTACCGGCCGCGATTAGCACCAAACAGAAACAAGACCATGCACTGGCACGTGCCAATACCTTCGCGTCCCAAGTCTTTTCCATACAACAGCATTTACGAAAATCGCTTGGCCACAAGCACGGAGTTTGTGAAAGCCTTGCAGCCCCGGCCTTTCGAACTGAAGGGAAAACTTAAGAGGCGCCCGGCTCAGGAAAGCTTCGGTGCTGCTCCACATTGCATGCAGGATGCAGATCTCCTCTGGGCTGCAGGGCTTGGACTCCACCGAGGCGGGACATTCCTCTCCGCCATAGGCCTGCCGCAAGACGCACGAAACTGGCAAAGGGTGCCACGACTCCTGTGTGCTTGGTGGGTGGCATGGGTGGGAGCCTTCCAGGAGGCCTCGCTCAAGCCTTTCCGAGCCTTCCGACATCACAAGCTGGTTATGGACGTGTCTGTCCGCGTGTATGTCTGCCTGCATATATGTATGTATGCAGGCACGCACGCACGCACGCAC